AGTAACTGATCAGGAGAGGGAGAATTGAATTAGAACACAAATTAACAGAAAACATAAAAATGGACTGTAAAAGCTTCTGGAGATATGTTAAGTGGAAACGTTTAGCTCAAGCAAATGTGGTTCCATTAAGTGCAGATCCAGAGGAATATATAATGGGGGAAGAGAAAAATGGCCGAACAGCTGGTTAGGAGCAGTAAAGCACACAGCATAGGGGTAATGCACTGAGGATGCATGACTGGCTCACAAACAGAAAACTGAGAGAGAAATGGATGGGTTGTTCTCACGTTGACATTCTGTGACTAGGGAGATACCCCAAGGATCCCAGCTGTTCATAATCTGTATCAATGATTCGGAAATGTTATATTTCCCCATTTTGCGGACGATACAGAGCCAAGTGGGAGTGTGTGTGTCTTGAGGAAGTTGCAAAGCAGGAAGATTTGGATAGACTAAGATAACACAGTGTGGAGCTGGAGGGACACAGCAGGCCAGGCAACATTAGAGGAGCAGGAAAGCTGACATTTCAGGTCTGAAGAAGGGTCCTGACCCGAAACGTCAGCTTTCCTGCTCCTCTGATGCTGCCTGGCCTGCTGTGTTCCTCCAGCTCTACACTGCGTTATCTCTGACTCCAGCATCGGCAGTTCTTACTATCTCAGATTTGAATAGGCTTAAGTGATTGGGCAAGAACATGGCAGATGGAATATATCGTGGAAAAATGTGAGGTTATGCACTTTGGTGGGAGACACAGATGTGCAGAGCATTTCTTAAATGGGAAGAGATTGGAAAGTGTCAACCTACAAAGGGATAGCAAGAACTGTCGATGCTGGAGTCAGAGATTACAAGGTGTAGAGCTGGATGAACACAACAGGCCAAGCAGCATCAGAGGAGCAGGAAAGCTGATGTTTCGGGTTGGGACCCTTCTTCAGAAAATTTTCCGACCCGAAACATCAGCTTTCCTGCTCCTCTGATGCTGCCTGGCCTGCTGTGTTCATCCAGCTCCACACTGTGTAACCCACAAAGGAGCCTGGGTGACCCTGGCCATAACTGACTGAAGGCTAACACATAGGGGCAGCAAAGCTATAGGTGTCAGCCAAGAGGGTCGGAGTGCAAACGCAGTGACGTCTCGCTTGAGTTGTACTGGACTGTGGGTTACTGTAGACCCGAGGCAGTATCTGGGGTTGCGTTCCGCTCACCTGATGGCGATATCCACCTTGTGTGAGGTCGAACTTGTCTTTTTCTGTGTTTCAGGGAACACGGCTGTTTACATGTCAGGATGCACAGATCGTTCCAACTGCAATCAAACCTTTCAACAGAGCTTCCTGGGTGTTACTGTGTCCCTGAAAACCCGCTGCTGTAACATTGATCTCTGCAACGGAGGCACCTACGTAAAGTCGTCTCTGCTGCTGAGCTCCGTCCTCGCTGGGTTTTGGATTGTTCGGTTCCTCTGAAGCTGCGTGTGTGTTGTCGGGGGCGGGTGGGTGTGGGGGGGTGTGGGGGGGGGGGGGGGGGGGGGGGGGTTGGGGGGTCAGTGTGGTAGGGGCTCCATCTGCCTGGATTGGTGGGAGTAGAGGAGAGAGATGGTGGTGGTGGGGGAAGGTGGTGAGAGAGATACATGACCCCTCTGGCAGTTTGCAACGATTTCTCGTCTGATGATGATGACGACGAAATGGTCAAAAATTAAATCCCCTTTCTCCGTCGAGAAGCAGTTTTGTTTTCCGACTGTGAGAGGGCTTGGGCTAAAACACTCGAGCCACCTTCCAGCCGGCCTTTTCCGCCCCGTTTCACTAATGGTCTTGTACACACTAATTAAGGGACGTTGGGTTTTTCTGTTTGCTCTTGATGTCTATAAGCCTAAGAGGGATTGGGATTGAGGAGCAGCTCCAGGAGATGAGGAAGGGGAGCGACAGGCACACCTAAAGTATCATCAGTGGGTGGTATAAGATGTGGTCTTTGCCCCCAGGCCCCCCAACCCCTCCATGCCACCTCGCAGGGTGGGGCTGGGGGCAGGAGATGTTGAGATGGCCCATGTTTGTGAGTGGGTGGGTGGGGTGGGGGTGTGGTGGGTTTGTTGGGCCCACGTCAGATGTGCTGAGTGGTCGTGTCAGGTGCCACAGCGATGCCAAACCCTCTGCCAAACATGAGCAAGCAGGGCACCGCCTTGAAATCTGCCCCAAAGGGGCAACGACCAATGACCCATCTCACCCAACGTTCCCCGCCCCTCCCAATCTATCCCCTCGGGGTGTTGGGGGGGAGGGTGGAGTCTGACCGAGGGCAATGGCGGCACAGTTCCCTCCCTGAGGGGCATCGTGGGTCGACCCACGGGCTGCAGCGGTTCAAGAAGGCAGCTCACCCCCACCTTCTCAAGGGGGGGGGCAACTAGGGACGAGTGTGATAAACGCCGGGCCCGGCTGGCGACGCCCTCATCCCCTCAGTCGATTATGAAATAGGATGAAAGTTGGGACGTGCCCTGGGTGGGGGGATAGGGGGCAGCGGAAGCGAAGGGGTTTGAGGGGAGCCGTAGATGGCAGATCCAGGAACTGGCTGGTACATGGAATCATCGAATCTCCCCTCTGCTGAGTCTGGGGAAGGTGGTAAAGGTGCCAAATTGATCGAGAACATCAGCGTCACGGGAGGTTGCTTGCCTGTATTTTCCGTTGATGCCACGCGAGGCCTGTTTGGGAATCCCTGCAGCCTTTGTATCTCAGCCGCTGCTAACCTGTGACCATCCCAATAAACTTCCTGTGTGTTGGCAAACTGACGATCTCTCTCTCTCTCTCTCGACCTCAGTCTTTCTGCCCCCAATGTCTTTTCTTCAACACACCGCAGCTGCGTTCCAACTCACAGGACGGCGACAAAAAACAGGCCACAACATGAATATCTCACTCGCCAACAATCAGCTTAATTCTTCAAATTAATGTGTTTCTTTTTTTTTCATTTAACTCTCTCCGCTGTCACTTGGGGACACCAGCTGGGCTAACTTTGTCTTTACTTACCCTCCCTCACTCGAGCTGAATGACACGGGCAGTGAAGAGACAACCCTACAGCCGTGGGTCTGGAGTCACGTGCGGGCCAGGCCAGGTAAGGATGGTGGATTTCCTTCCCTAAAGGGCATCAGTGACTCAGGTGGGATTTTTACAGCAGTCGAACTGCCTCCGATATAACTATATCCCTTCTCTAGTCAGGAGGGATAGCTCCTAAAGAATTTGCTTTTATATAGCACCTTGCCCCAGCCGCAGGGATGAGGTAAAGACCTTCGCAGCCAAGTTTCCAAAGAGTAAAAGTTAATGTCATCATCGTTTTACCAGATCTCAGGGCTGATCTCTCATTGGAGACAGAGAGAGAAGGCTGGAGATGCGTTTAAACTTGAGGATCAGATCTGAACAGAGAGAGACACAGCCTCAGTTCTACAAGGAGTGATGGAGTTTCCAGAGGGACCCTTTGTGAGTTGCTCGGAGATCGTTTTGACATGACTCTTAGCCATGGGCTTGAATCAATTCCAAATCTTTCTCAGTAATAGACCAATCTATTTTAGCCCTACCCTTTCTCAGACTGACTTTACTTGAAGGGCATGTTCGAACAGGCAAAGGTCTTGACAAAATGCTCAGTGGCGTGTAACCCAGGCCAAACAATGCACCAACAAATCTCTCACAAGCTTCGCACACACCCTCAGGCACTGGGCCCAAAGTTCAGTCCTTCCAGGCGCTAGGCAACGGGTTGGCACAAGACTGGGGTAACTGCACCAAGCCTGGACTGGGCCAAGTACAATGTAAGGGACGTGGTCCCAGCAAGTGCCAGGCCTATACCTGGGCAGGCAGGTACAGGTAGGAACACCACAGCTCTGGCACAGAAAAGACCAGGCACCCATCCAAGCGGGCACGGGGTGGGGGTAAAATAGAGACAGCCGAAGATGTTCACTCGAGGGGTTAGGGTCTGGAACGTACTGTCTGAGAGTGTGG